TTTTTGCGATAACTTTTCTTTTTAACTAACACAAAATATAAAATTAAAAAGCTTGATCTCTGAGGTTGGCAAAAAAAAAAAAAAAAAACATTTTTGAATCTCATTTCCCTGACTTGCTTCTTTCAGGCGTTATTTTGTGTCAATGAAAAACTGCTAGACTTGTACTCACTTTCAAAACCTAGTGATTTATTAACTCATTATTTTTGTCATATTGCCCTTCTTTACAGATCACACATAGAAAGATGTCTCACACCAATTCAGCTTGATCACTGAAAGCAACAGCATGTTGAGGTAAGTTTTCTTAAATCCGTTGGGAAATTGCGTTGGGAAGTGCATAAAATGTTGCATTTTGGTATTAAAATCTGTAATTGTGATTGTCACAACTTGCTTTTCTCAATAACTCTTCTGTTGTGGCTCAGCATAAATAGTCAAATAGGCATGATGCATGGGAGGAAGGTGAGCAAGGTTACAACTGATAGCAGGACAATGCTGGGCATTCACAGTCATTTCCGGACCTATGTTTGCCAGAAAAGTGTGATAATGGATATGAGCCTGTGAAGCCATTCACTCATGTATTACGTCAGTCATGAGTAACCCTGGATATCACGTGTAGGCTATTTGACCTCACACATTATTAAAAACAGAGACTTACAAACAATGGTGACCAAATTATTCACATTCAATACCATTCAATGTTAAAGGTGCAGTCGAAATAGGTACTGCAGTCCAATTCAAAATGTCAGAGATCGTTGTTTCTCCCGCCACCTGCTCCTCAGGCTGGACGGCGCTCACAAACGTTGCCAGTTTGAGGACACGCAACCAGTGTTGGGTAAATTTTTTCAAAAAAGTAATTAATTACTAGTTACTAATTACCTCTTCAACAGTGTAATTAGATTACTGTTCCAATTACTCTCTCTAAAAAGTATTTAATTACTTTTAATTACTAATTACTTTCAAAATCCCATATCAATCTCAACCAGCTGAATAATACAAGGATAGACATGAACCTGTTATAATTCATTCAAATAAATACTATAAAATTGCATGAATTATCCTTAAACTGACCAAGGTAGAGAAGGTTACATTATAAAAACATACTTTTTAGCATCAGACAATACATTTTGATGTTAAACCCACTATTGTTTTATGTCTGATCTCATGACATTACAAATTTCTACGAGTGCGTTCGTACGGTTTATACACGTCATAAAATGCATACGAATCGCTGTGAGATCGAATTGATCTATTTTTACCTCAATTACATCAGAAGTAACTGTAAAATTGCAGATTAATGAAGAGTAATCCCTTACTTTACATTTTCAAGGGAAAAGTAATGAAATTACAGTAACTAATTACTTAGTAATTAGTTACACCCAACACTGCACGCAACAATAACGAGCATAATGGAGTATCACGAACCAAAACAATAACAAACATTCCAGCCTGGAAACGCACATTTCAAAGTAAAATAACAGGCTGTAGAAGTGTTTTTCAGAAAAACGAGTATGTGAACTTAGCATGTTTCCTCAATAAATGCAAACATAGTATGGTATTTTTTATGCTTTAGTAGAGTGAAAAAGTTACATACAGCACCTTTAAGCATCAGAATGAAGTAGATATATTGGGAAACACTTGCTTTGCAATTACTTGCTTCATTACACCTGATGTATCCTCTACATGCACATGCAGTTAGTAAAGTATGGCAGGACTATTATAGGGGAACTTTGTTCCTTAGTTGATTAAGACTGAGCTTTAAAATGGGTTTAATCCCTGTGGTTCATTCTCAGTAGCCTACAATGCATTCATTAGTGCATACAGTGGCAGCTGAGAGAACTAGAGAATATTAAAGTTCTCTCTTAAAGGGAGTTGTTAAGTAATTAAACTCTGGTATTCCCTGCTTGCGGCTAAGAAATTAAATATAATTAGATCCTGATAAATGCTGATGCATATAATTTGCTGTGTTTTAATGTTGTCTTGCAAATCACAGACATCAAACATGAAAGCATTTGGTTATCTGAGCTTTAGATCAAAATTTTTTGGTTCTCAAAATTTTCGACTCCAATTTGTCCAAGACAATATGCAAAGGCTCTATATCAAAGCTGTACCTCTGAATAAACTCAAAATATAATGTTAGGTTGATGTTCTACATCTTCATTTTTAGTATTTTATTTTAGAATTTTAATTAGGATTATGTTAATAGAAATCACTTGAAATAATATTTTGACTTATTGACTGATTTTATTGTTTTACATACTGTACCTCATTTTAGATGAACTTGCAATCTTAAACTATGAAAATCCATCATAAAATATTATTCCATTTTAAACTATGATAACAAAGATTGAAATAATTACAAGCAGTGAGAAAATTATGAATATGCATTTTTACACAAATTAAAAAGTTTTTTATAAAGTTTTTTTTTAAATTTGTAGTATACTCTAAAATAATGAAAATGAAGAAAAATCAAGCTAATCATCACCTATTCAATATTTTTGTTATGTTTATGAGTGTGCAAGAATGCAAAAACTGAAAATATGATTTATTTTTGTGTATTTAGCAGCAAAGTGCTGGCTATGAAATTAGCTTGACTAAGAATAGTTTTTGTAATTAAATATACATACACAGGCCTATATATATATATATATATATATATATATACAGGTGTATACAAATAAATACTTATTTCCTAGGTGATGATTAGCATGATTCTTCTTTATTTTCATTGGTCTTATATTTCAGAGTATGCTAATAACTATTGAAAAAAACTCTATTAGTGACACAATTGTATGTATGTATGTATATATATATACCATACCACCATAGAATGCTAATGCAATTTTCAGAAAACAAGGTAATGTCAGGGCCAAAAGCACCTATGATGCAACGCCCCACTCAAAAGTTAGAAAAAATCTGTGCTTATCTGCATGTCTTTATGCAAGAGTAGAATGCAGTGTTGTCCAGAGGTTTGTGTGTGTGTGTGTGTGTGTGTACTCTTTGGAGAGTCTATTTACAAAACCACGACTCGGGAATCTGCAGCATCACATGTTAGGCCATCACCACCCTCAAGCTTCCTGAAGAGGTCTGCCTTCATACCACTAACAAAGCACACAAATGCACACTCTCACACACTGTGCTGAGTGCTGGCTTTGTGTTGCAGTCACATGCAATTCACACTCTGCGTCCTGCAGGTCTGTGGTTTTCCTCTATGAGTTTAGGAAGAGAGGGAGAGATGAGGAGGAGGAGGAGGGTGAACGAGGCGGTCTGCCATCTGGGTTCTGCTGCACTGGATGCAGTCTCCATGGTAACATCGCTCTCTCATGCAATCAAATCAAGGAATGAGATCAGGCCCCGCCCACCCCCCCTCAGCGCACACATGGTTGATGCTTTTATCAGCTAAGCCACGCCCCCTGCCATTTGTCTCCACCCCTTCTAACCCTTAGTGATGATTTGAACTCAATTTGTCACTCTGGATGTTGGTGATATTAGTGGGAATGGTTGTAACTTGGTAATCCAAGATGTCACCATGGGTCCTTGTCCTTCAGTTGACAGAAATGATATTTCTAGCTTGTCTTAGAAGACTGATGTGACTAAAGTGACCCCTCCTGCCCAAGCTGGAATTTCTAAGACTATAATTGTGCTTTCTAAGACTAAAATCGGTCTTAATTTATCTATAGAATATCTACAGTGGTGGCATCTCTCTCTCTTTCTCTATGCCTCTGTAGTCATTTATCTTCATTAGCTCACATAATATCATTATCCTGATAGTTACTCATTATCTTGTCCCCTCGATTTTTCTCCTATCATGTTGTTCCTGTATATCTCTTAGTTTCCCCTATTTTGTCCTGATGGTGAATACAAAAATACAAATACACCTTCCCCCTTATAGCACTCTGGGAAACTGAATATAAGGCACTTGATCCTGCAGAAAAGATGTCATCATGCAATTTCATCACACAGGAGATTCATTCATTTTCTTGAATATTCACCTTTGAACTCTTGAGGACTTTCTCTTATAGTTCTTGTGTTTGTCTGTTGTATTGAAATGGGTCGAGTATTTTTACTTAATTTTGCAGTATAAATATCTAAACATCATCAAAATGTTAAAAATGTTTGTTTTTTAGATTTCAAATGTAATATATATATATATATATATATATATATATATATATATATATATTTGTATGAGGGTTATTTGTATTACTCCATTGGTAGTTTGTATGCGTAAATCTAATGCTTCATTTGACATTTTAACTATTTACTATTTTATGGATAAATTAAAATGTACTTTAATGAAAACAATGTAAACTATGCCAAATCAACATATCAGAATAATTAGTGATTGTGTATCATTCTAATCACAAACTAAATTATACAGTGATAAAAAGTTCTAACCAACCCCAAATGTTTAAACTGTTTACTTACAGATTTTTGCTGCTCAACTAAATGAATTTATTTAAAGCAAACTTTAGTTGCTGTCTGTAACCAATTTGACGTCTGTTTCCAATTGAAAATAAATGTTGTATTAGAAATTTGGTCGTAAAAAAAAAAAAAATGTGTTTCGAGATGGACCAAATGTGAGTTTGCTAAAACATAATTAGCTATTTGTCTATTGGTGATCATTACCCAATAGCATGTGTGGCCCAAGTGACATCAGCAGAATATCAAAGTCGTTTCACTGGGAAAAGATTACTTCTTGGGAATACAATGCACCAATGAATTAATCACAAAATACATTTTGATTTCATGTTGAGGATGTTGAAAACGAGAAAAAAATTATGTCATGTTTATGGTAGTGTGGCAAACCTTAGAGAGAGCAAGAGATTACTCTGTATCTAAAGGATGTGTTCTCCATCTGCCATTTTCCTGTTGCCTTGCACCTTCACTCAGAATATTGGCTGACCACATCCCCACCTCCCTTGTTTTCAGCCAATCCCCTTCCACTATCTGCCTTTCCCCTCCCTTCTCATCAGTCTTTCTCTTCTCTTTTCTTTCTCACACACATACACCCTTGCTTGCTCACACATCTGCTGCTGCTTCTTCTTCTCTCCTGTCTGCTAGTCTTTCTAGATTTGCGCCTTTAATCTCGCTGTTTCTTCTCCTTTTGGGATGAGGGGCTGCAAGGCTGGACGGGTCTGTGCTCGGATGCTTCGCTGAGACCTGTCCGTATCTTTCTCTTTCCCTTTTCCATCCCTCTACCTCTGTCAGCTGCGAGAACTCACGTGAGTACGGCGTCGGGGAGCTCCCCCTTTTCCTCCTTTTCTCTTCTTGTGTCTTGGCACCATCACTTTCTTTCAACCCTCCTCCATACGTTTTGTATGCAATTTCGTAAGCTGTGGTTGACTGTGGTGAATAATTTACTGCAGAGTCTGGCTTCTCCCTTTCAGTCAGCTGGGCATCTCGGACACACTCATGCACAAACACACACACATGAGTGAGAGGACATTATCACAGCCAGCCAGCCTTTCAGCTCTTATATAAAACGAGAGCGCGTGTGTGAAATGAGTTGTGTCTCAATGGATGTGCGCGTAAGATGAGTGTTTGTGTAAACACAATGTTAGGTGTCTCCTTTGACGGGTTTGTCGGCTCTTTCCTCAATATCACCTGCTTTGCTGCCATACTTATTGATCTGAGCCTCAAAGATGGAAACATTCAGTTTTGTTAGTGGGATTTTAAATGGATGGCTTCAAATTGAATTGTAAATTGGAGTGTGTTCAAGTAATGCCACTGTGGCTTCCTGTCTCTTAGCAATGATAGGAAGTGTCTGTAGACAGAGGAGGTGTGATACATCTTAATGAACGCTTAATTAAGGCTATTCAAGAATAAAACCATAGCATTTATTGGCTTAAATGGCACACCCTATTACAGCGACATAATATTATTGAGGTACAGTCATTGTAATCATCCAAGCAGACAGCTATAATTAATGTAATAATGACAACACAATTTGGCAGGACTGTTAACACTCATTATCATTTTGCTTTAGTTGACATTACTAAAATATAGCCGTTGGCTTGCAGTCTGGTTTAATTTGCCTTGATGGTTCCCAAAATGGAAATTATATTGGTCATATGGTTGATCTTTTTAATTTAAGTTCAAAACAATTAGCAGAGTTCTATCAGTTTGTCTATCACTTTGCAGGGTTGTATTTATATTGTTATTAGGGCTATGCAAAGATTAATTGCGATTAATGGCATCCAAAATAAAAGTTTGTGTTTACATGATATACTGTATGTGTGTGCTGTGTATAATTATTTTGTCTTTATAAATATATACGCATGCATGCATGTAAATATATGAAGAGTTCAGATGCAAAAGCCTCTAAATGCCATTTGAAATTTTCTTCTTTAATGATGATTTTTATCAAACTTGTATATTTAAGTTCAGTAATTTCACTTAAATAACAATTAATAGGTAATTATTATTGCCATTTAAGTGAAATTACTGAACTTAAATATACAAGTTTGATAAAAATCATCATTAAAGAAGAAAATTTCAAATGGCATTTAGAGGCTTTTGCATCTGAACTCTTCATATTTAATAATTGTTTGGACTTAAATATTGTATATATAAAGACAAAACCTATATTATATATAAATATAAATATAAATATTTTCTTAAATATATACATGCATGTGTGTATTTATATATACAAAATAATTATACACAGCACACACAAATATATATTATTTAAACACAAACTTTTATTTTGGATGCGATTAATCGCAATTAATCTTTGCACAGCCTTAATTGTTATGTTCTATTATAGTATATTTGAGTATTTATTAATATTTTAAATTAGCTTTTTGTATCAGTTTTTATTTTAGTTGTACTTAAGTTTTAGTCATTATGAAGTGCTTTTAAATCTTTTTAAATATTTCTAATTAGAATTATTTTATAATTTCAATTTTAAATTTAGTCATTTATTTCAGTTAGTTGCCAAGGCACCATTAGTAATTTTAATTTATTTATTTCTTTAAGTTTAAATTTTTCATCTAGTAAATTTTTCATCTAGTAAATTTTTCATCTAGTAAATTAATTAATTTAATTTTAACTGAAATATTTTTCAGCTATAATTAACAACACTGCTCTTAACTATACTTAGACAAATAAAAGTAGACACAAGACAAGTGATGACATGAGTAGCTATAAAAATATTGTATCATTTATTTTTTTTTATTATTAATTTGAGATGATAAATGAGACTTTAGCAAACCCTTCATTTGCTCTCCATTTAAGAAAGGAAAAACAACTGATGTAAAGAGATCTCATCTGGGATTTTGTGTTCACAAAGGCCATTTCTGAGCATTCAATGTATGACACACAATATCATATTCATCTCTCAAGTTTAGCAATTTTGCTATTGCAGTAATTTATGTACTTATCCAGGTTTTCATGTACTTTCAAAGGAATAAGATTTTCCATACGTATTAATCCTCTCTGTACTATCAACTCTGTGGGCCAATAAAGGCTGTAAGAAGCACATGAACCAGTCAATGGAACGACTTAAATTCCATTGTGTGTGTGTGTGTGTGTGTTGTAGAGGGAAGCCAGTTACAAAGAAGATGTCAGAGGAATATCCAGCTGGCATTGACGTAATGGCTCCATAGAAAATTAAGTAAGAGTAGAGTATTCAAAGTCTCCATTAGAGTTAAAAGTAAAGTATGGCTTTGAAATCCTGTCTTTTTTTGACACAATTGGCAGTTTAGACCTGTACAGATATGGTTGGACAGCCAACAAACAAATGATCAAGCAAGCATTTCCTCCAAGGCTTTTATTTTTCAATTGATAAAACCAAATAAAATGCTTTTTCAGAATGATTTTACTTCAGGTTTGACTGTATAGTTCCCCTTTATTGGTACTGGCAGGTCAAACAGGCATTGTCATATTCACAAATGGCATTTGACGTTATTTGGTTGGAGATTATGATGGATGTAAGGGCAGTGAGATGGAGCTCTGCTGACAGATCTCTCTGTTTTAGTGTGACATGAATTGCCATTGTTGTGTGTGTGTTCTTGTGCTCTTTCCACTGTATGATCGCATTAGGCCAGTGACAAACAACCTTTATTGTGCTATGGCTGCCTGAGTGACCATTATACCTAACCTTCCCCTTTAGGGTATTCTTCTTATGTCTTGTTTGTGTGTGTGTGTAAGGGAGAAAGCTTTTGACTTGCGCTGAATGTTTCGTCTGTTGGGTGTTTGGGATGTCGACATGTCGTTAATACGGTCAATAGAACCAGTTTAGCTCATTCAACAGTTCATAAACACACCTAAACTTACAGCTATTTTGATGTGACATTCATAACCAGTTCACTAACCAGTTTCCATTTAAAAGCTTTCGCTGATTCATGCATCTTATTGTACCTAAAATATGTGCACACGATTAGTCCATGCATGTTTTTAAAACTTCTCCAATCCTTTAGTACACTTAAATCCCGCTCCTTTCTTACAAATGACTACAATAAATTAAAATGGATAGAATCAAGTTCTGGCCCAACATTTTCCTTTTTTCTTTTTTGATAATCTGTTTCAAACGGATGTGTGGCACCAATTAGAATTGCAGAAATAAAGGCCCTGTTTACATGATGGGAAAACGCAAATATTTCTCTGCGTTTTGCCCTCTCATTTACACGAAAACGCCGTTTTTTTCACTTATTTCTAAAAACTCCGGCCAAAGTGGAGATTTCTGAAAACGCCGGTTATGTGTTGTCGTGTGACTGTGAACTGGGAGAAACGTTGTTTTACGTTCTCTCTTGTCGTTTCTGAGGATTCTGACTCTTGCTTGAATGGCTTTATCCTTAACCCCTACACTGCCGCCAATAGGTTTGGCATAGTTATGATGGCGCTCGACGGCGTATTTATGCAGGTGTGTAAACGATGTTATTTTTGAAAACGGAGAGGGGGAAATATTCGTTTTGCTAAATGTGTAAACGTTGCCAAAGATTCTTTCCCAACAGTTAGTCCCACCCTAAACTCATGCCATTGGTTGAGCATGAAGTTGATACACCGGGCATGTTGAAAACACCACGACCACACATCTCAGGAAGTCTTGACTTTTTAAATTATCTGTGCACATTAGGCTAGGAGAGGTGAAAAAATGAACAAAATAAAGATTACACACTTAAAATCCAATGAAAAATCACAGCATAATAATATAATATCTTGTAGTGCCTTTTGGCAGTATTTTGTAATTCCATGTTTTCTCTGGTTATTTGTGAAGCATGCGTCATGGCCTACGCCTACCAGAACCGTAACCCGTCTGAACTCTCAGGAGTCTGGTCCTCTACGCACTACTCAAAAAAAACAAAAACTTGTTTAGTCCTGAACCACAGAACGAGGACACTTCTGCATAATTCATACTTCTAAATTGACAAATATACTGTATAAGTGAGTTTTTCCACTGAAGCACCAGAGGCCTATCCGCAGGGTGACTCACACCCATCTGCGAAAAGCACATGTGCATTAAATTTATTAAAACACACCACTTTACATATGACAAGTACTTTTTTTAAATTCAGAAGTAATTGACCTGTTTGTTGGTATTGTTTATATGCTTAAGGCATTAAGTGTTCTTCTCCTCTGAAAACACACACACATAAACAGTAGTTATTTGAAGGATCAGATTATTTCTGGCCCGTCTTAGGTAGCCAGCTATGCAGGCATTCCCTCCAGTAATATTTCCACAGTCCAGAGAGAGAGAGAGAGAGAAGACATGGACATGTGGATCAGCTATTCATGGTCCACTGTTAAGAGCCCATCTCGCGTGCACCTCTCTCCAATTTATAGAAGTTAACACTCCTCCAACCCGTCTTAAGTTTGCATTGGTTGACAGATATTTAATGACTGAATAGGAAAATCAATGTCACGCCACTGGATTAAGCATTAACACACTTTTTTCATTTTATTATCTATAAAACCTCAGGCCCATTGGCCTTTTTAATATCTTGATTGTTTTTCTACATTAAGGATTTAAGAATATACCCCAAAAGTCTAAAGTTTGTACTTTATTTTGTCTTCCAATTCAATACAATCGTTTTGATATAATTTACATTACATTATTTTTCATAGACACAATATTTCTTTGGATTTTCTTCTGTATTTAGTTATAATTTTTCCTCATTAATACATTAATAAAAAATAGACTAAACTACTGTAAAAAAAGCATACACATTTGGTCTAATGGTCAAATTTGGTCTACACATTATACATTTTATTCATTTTT